TTACCTAAAAATATTGGTTACTTAGATAATTTAGAGTATAATAATTAATTAGAATTAAAAAGACCTGTTTCCCTGTGGAGTTCGACCCTACTTCCCTATCTATCTTAGTTAGTGATTTATTTAATTATTTTTGATTAGGGGATACGACTTTACCCTGTCAATGCCCCTGAGTAATTTTTTTATTCACCAAATACCCATCAAAACTTTTAAATTCACCAAATACTCCTGAGTTTAAAAAAATTTCACCAAATGCCCTTAATGACTAACGGCGGTTAACACTGTTACTCATTAATGACTAATATGCCACGTGGCAGCCTCTGATTGATTGTTGTAATATAAATAAATTAATTATTAAAAAAAACTTTAAAAATATATATATAAAAAAAACCCCACCACCCCCAAGACCCACCCCCGCCCCACCTCAGCCCCTGCCAGACGGCGCCGGCGGCGGCCGCCAGCTCCCAGATGGACCCGGCGCCGGTCTCTGGTGAGTCCAGCCCCCCACCCTCGACACCCCCTCCCCTACCCCAAGCCCCCTCTCCCTCTGTTTCCCCTCCCCTTAAACCCCTCCCCATCCCTCGAAAAACCCCCCCTCCTTCGCGGTTGGCGTCAAAACCCCCTCCCCGGCGAACCTTTTTCTCCCTACCCCCCGCCATCCCCACCCCATTTCCACCCTAAACCACCACCCAAAAACCCCTTAAACCCCTTAATCGAAAAAACCCCAAATCGAAATCTAGGGTTTCGATTTGGGGGTTTTTCGGTTTTTTGGGTGGTGGTTTAGGGTGGAAATGGGGTGGGGATGGCGGGGGGTGGGGCGAAAAAGGGTTCTCCGGCGCCGGGGAGGGGGTTTGGACGCCGACCGTGAAGGAGGGGGTGTTTTCGAGGGATGGGGATGGGTTTAAGGGGAGGGGAAACGGAGGGAGAGGGGGCTGGGGGGATGGAAGGGGGTGTCGAGGGTGGGGGTTGGCCTCGCCGGCGACCGGCGCCTGTTTCGGCTAGGGGGAGGGACCACCGGCGTCGACGGCCGCTGGCAGGGGTTGGCTTTGGTAGGGGAGGGGGTGGTTGGGGGTGGGTTTAATTTTTTTTTTATATTAATTAAGTAATTAATTAAATTAATTGAATAATTATTTAAAAGAGAACCAATTGCAGCATGCCACGTGGCATAATTAACCTTAATGACTAACAGAATTAACCGCCGTTAGTCATTAAGGGTATTTGGTGACATTTTTCTTAAACTCAAATGTATTTGGTGAATTTGAAAGTTTTGATGGGTATTTAGTGAATAAAAAAATTACTCAGGGCATTTCATGAAATTTCCGTTATTATTAATGTAGTGTTGTTATTGCATTATTATTATGCGCAGGTATGATGCTCACCGTACCTTTTAACGTAGGACTGCGTGGGTATGTAGTGTTGTGTTTTTATTAATTTGAGGTGTTAGCTTGACGATGGAGTTTTAGCTAATTTTGATTATGATAGGCGTGATGTGTATGTAATTAGGGTTTTCCCCTTATACTATTCTTATTGTCTCTAAAATATGGTTCAATTTGACTTTTTATGAACACCAATATATTTTAAATCATTAAAAATCTTCATTTTTGTAAGCATAATGTATTTCAAAGTAATATTCAATTTTTTTTTTTTTGAATAGTAAGTAATATTTTAATTATATTACCTTTTTGTAATTAATTACTAATTGTTTACAGTCCTTTCTTAAATTAGTCAATTTCGCTATGTTTTATTTTTGGCATATTTACTTTGTGTAAATTTTAAAGTAAGAAAAAGGAGCCGGATTACAATCTTTACGGTCTTTTTGGTTCAATATTTATGGACTACACACTTCAAAAGTGTGGGAAAAAATGTAAGGAATTCTCACCTCCAAAGTTTATAAAAAAATCGGGTTGGGACGGGTCGGGCCTTAACATGATACCTCGTGCTCAAACCCGCAAAAAAATAGTGGACTTGTCATCCAAAGCGGGCTTTTCGGACTGGGATAAGGCATTTTAACTAAAAATTACTAAAAATGCATTTATAATCTTGCTCAAACCCGTCTTATTTTTGGGCCATATTGAGCCGAGTCAATATTGATCACCTCTACCTCAAGGTCGTTATGAACCTACACTTACGATGTGCGGAGTAGGATAACTGGACAATATGAGGTGACTTAGGAAAGCCGTAAGCGTTGATGTTTGATGGTTTGTTTAAGGATGTTAGTGGAGAAAAAGTTATAATAGTTGGGTGATGCAAACTTGCAAAGGGATAAGTCCCTACTTAACACGCAAGCTAGGTAGAGCTTATCCGCAAGCCGCAAGAAACATATCGCAGTCTCGCAGAGCAGCAGCGGGCTTCCGAATGGCTCTGCTGCCTGTGCGCCTGTCGCCCTGTGCGTTGGCGTTGGGCCTTGCTAATTGCTATATTTAGCTTTGTGTTGGTATTGGGAAATGGGAACTTTGGCCCTTGAGCTATAAACAATTAGTTTATTATTTATAAAGCAATTGGGTTTTTGGATCATACCAAGTATAGCCCAACTTATTGGGCTTATGTTAATTTTTATTTTTATTGTGTGACTTTAATTCCTTTGATACAAGCTAAATAATTATCGTTATTATGTTATAAAAGATCATAAGATGGTTGAGTATAGTTTTGTTAAACATTTTAGCTTCTTTATACTTGTGAGTTTTGTATTCATAGTTGAAATAAGGAGAAGAAAAATTTGCCAGGAATATTGCGACTTTTGAACGGTCCTCCAATAATAAAAAGACATCTAGATTATCTTAAAATAATATGAGCTTTGACACATATCTTTCAAAAATAGAACAAAAAGTTGGTAACTTATTTTACCGGTTACATTTGACACATGTCTTGCTGTAATTTGTTAAGATTTTTTTTTTTTATTTTAACATTTTATTTATATCAAAGATTAAAAAAAAAATTTTAAAAAAAACTGAAATTTTGAAAAAAAAAAAAAAAGGGAAAAAAAACCCAAACACCACCCTCTTCCTATGATCCTCCTCTACCTCCCCATCCACCATGAACTCCCCGAAAACTACCCCAACCCAACCAAACCAGCTACACCGGAAACAACCCCTATTTTCCAACACCACGCTCAAAGTCGTCTTCTCTTCCACCCCATACTTAATTGAAACAAACCCACAAATCCCCACCCATCACCTTTGAACCCGCCGCAAAATCTCCACCTTCCTTACCTATCACCGAGATCCACCTTCAAAACCCAATCAAACCCCAAGCTATGGGAAAATAGAGAGCTTACGTGAAGCAAATGGGGTGCTAGCATATGAGATGTGGTAGGGAAAAGGAACAAAATCGGGAACTGGGTAAGACGTGTGGTCGGATCGGAATCAGGGACAGGGATGAGAATGGGAGGAAGGAAACGGGTAAGGGGAGGAAAGGATGACGCCGAGAAAGGAATCGAAGGTGTCGGGGGAGGCCTGATGCCGGCGGGGATATGGTAGAGGTGATCAAGGTTAGCTAGCTCGGCCCGTTGGCCCGACCCGATTTTGGGTGGGTTTTGGGCAGAATTTTTCGGCCCGAAATCAGGTAGGGCTCGGCCCGAAAAATTAAATTTTTTGGGCGGGTTTAGGATTACGTTTTTACACATATTTAGTTGATTTTTTAGGCCTGGCCCGAAATTAGCCCGAAAAGCCCGTATGGCCCGACCATTTTGGGCACAAAATTCCGGCCCGAAGCTTGGCCCGGCCCGAAAAATGGGCACGATTTTTTAGCTTCGGCCTGGCCCGAACCCGGTCTGCCCCGCCTCGCACAATGATCACCTCTAGGATATAGGGACTAGGTAGTGGAGGAGGAGAGGTGGTTGGGCTAGATTTTTTTTAATATTTAAAAAAAAAAGAAAATTAAAAAAAATAAAAATAAATTGACCACTGACAATGTGACACGTGGTATAGGTAACCTATTAAACATGTTAACAACAAGTCACGTTCTATTTACGGAAGATATGTATCAAAGGCCGTGTGTTATATTGAGATAATTTAAAGGTCGTTTTATTTTTGGAATACCGCTAAAAGGTGGTATTATTCTTGACAAATTTTTCTAAAGAGAAAGTACGATTTCATCTATTATTGCCCAATAACAAAAGTGGAACATACGATTTAGAAATTGATTGATTGTTTTGAATTTATCTTTCGATGTAGATTGAGAGTCCTACATACTTCTCTATAATAACAAATTCACTTAACAATTTGCTCACTATAATAAGATTTTAGCCTTTTTAGTGGTCAAGGAATATCCTTTTCTTATCGTATTAATTTTTTTATTTCAATTTGATAAAACCCAAACTCAATACTCCATTAATTGTTATCCCCTATTTCACGACAGCAATAAAAAGTAATATACAAGAAATATAACCGAAATGAAACTAATTAATTTTACATTTTTACATCACAAATTAAGTACATACTATTTATGTAAGGGTACCAAGGGACACGAAATTCATTGATAGAGAATATCCATAGAATATTCTCATCCTATGTTTAGGATATATTTTGTAAAGATTATCTTTGATATCTGTACATATCTTATAGTTACCTAATATGATTAGGTTTCTCATTGTAACCCTATAAATATTGATCAATGGAAATCACTCTATCAAGGGAGTTTACAGTATCTGACATGGTATCACAGCTTAGGTTAGATCTTGGGATCATACACAAAAATTATCGCCCTGCCGGTGGGTTAGAAAATTAAACCCACCGGCGGGATATTCAAAGTTTTTTATGCTTTCGCAAACACACATATAGATTTTTTTTTTCTTTTCTCAAAGTTTTTTTTTTAGAATCTTTATGTAACCTTGCGCCTCCTACCAACAGTAGCAATCGCGAAAAGCCTCCTCCATCGTTGTTGGCAATCGCATACACTACCGCCTCCCACTACTGGCAGTAACCACATCTGCCAACCTACTCCATGTGCCGCACTCTACTTCCACCTCCCCATGACCAACAATGATTCTTACATTGCCTCATTGGTTTTTTTTTACACATAATCACATAGATTTTGTTTTGGTGGTGGTATATCACAATAAGGTCAACTTTTGCACATCTCTTTTGCTATCAAGTTAGCTCCTTTTATTGTTGCAGCACTTGGAATCTTTGTGGAGTATTGAATTTTGCTACCTGGTTTCTCTTTTGAGAATTGATTAATTTCAAGCGGTGGGATTTAATCTTTTCTTGCGCAATTTTATTTGTTTTTCTTCAACTGTAATTTCACGTAGTAGTGTAGTGTCTTCTCCCTGATGATGATTTGATCCCTTAACTTATTCTTCTCTGGATCTGCAACTTGGCCCAAGTATATGCGTGACTCTTCTCCTTCGGCCTAAAAGCGCATATCTCTACTATACGTAGGTTGTGGTTGTTGCTTCTCATCGTCATCACCAGCACACGTCTACTACTTCTCTTTTGATCATGGGTTACTATACTGTCCTTACCGTTCGATGCGTGATTCAGATCCAGTCTGAGCATCCGATTTTCTCCCGCTCTGACTGCGGGGGTGTGATACAGAATATCCATAGAATATTCTCATCCTAGGTTTAGGATATATTTTGTATAAGATTATCTTTGATATCTGTACATATCTTATAGTTACCTAATATGATTAGGTTTCTCATTGTAACCCTATAAATATTTATCAATTGAAATCACTCTATCAAGGGAGTTTACAGTATCTGACATTCATAAAAGATAAAATACAATCATGCAACCAAATCAACCCTAAATTTTACAATATAACATCTACTAAACATATATAGTTAATCAACTTAGACCAAGGATTTCCTCCATGGAAGGACGAGGCCGACATATAGCCTCCAAAGGCTTATCCTTGGGTATAATGATGGCACCACCACAACGATTCTCAGTCAAGTCCACTAATCCATCCTCAGCTGCTTCCCAATCAAAACATTGAATAAGTGTAGCCACTAACAAATTAACATTCCTAAGAGCAAAGTTGTTACCGGGGCAAGCCCTCCTCCCCATCCCAAAGGGCATAAACTTAAACCCTTCTATCTCATTTTCAAATCTTTCTGGCTTAAACATGGTTGGCTCATCCCATAGATTAGGGTCCCTATGTATTGCCCAAGCATTGACAAAGAGAATAGTACCTTTCGGAACATGGAACCCTCCAATGGTGCAATCTTTGGATGAGCAATGTGGGAGTAGAAGTGGTGTAGGTGGGAAAAGTCTTAGAGTCTCATTGACAATGCATTTTATATAGTTCAATTTTGGGAGATCAGAATCGTCTACTAGTCTTCCTTTGCCGACATGTAGATCAATTTCCGATCTTGCTCTGGCTAGGACTTCAGGATTGTTTATGAGGTTTGACATTGCCCACTCAAGAGTACGCATGGTAGTTTCTGATGCTGCTAACAACATGACCTACAATAGACCATTACGTATACCTCGTGTAAGTAATACTCCATTCATTTGATGTCATCAATCAGACCGGCCACAAAGGCACATAGGGAACTAATTTATTTTATACTTCGTAATAAGTAATATTAGTGCAGACTTTTTCATTCATTATTTATATTCTAAATTTAATTATATAATAGTTTTTTTTTTTTTTTAAAAAAAAAAACCCTACTACCTCTGTTTTTTTTTTTTGTAAGTTACAACTTTTTTGGTGTATTATTTGAGAGATATAAAATATTCTAAAATTGCAACTAAAAAAAATCAGAGGACGGAGGTAATATATAAATTTCATTTAAAGACGAGTATATACTCATTATTTAAAGCTAATTCTACTATACTAGTATATAAAAAGTATTCGATTACAGGTTTCAAAAAAAAAAAAAGTATTCGATTACAAGTCTTATTAATTTCTATCGTATTAACCCTAAGAATTTAGGAAAATAAATTAATTGACATCCAAGTATGTTACGTGTAGACAAATATGTCACTTAAAATGCTGTCTTTATTCTCTTAATGAATGATAAAAGTAAATTGATTTTCTTTATAAAGACAACAAGCACATACTAGTATAGTAGAATTAGCTTAATATCTCGAGCTTATGTGGGTTGTAGTACTTGCAGACCCACCAAATCCATCGCTTATCGTTAGAGCTGTTAGTTTCTGACCCGAACCGTTAAACCCGATTGTTTCGAATCGATTTGAAAAGGAACTGAACTGTTTAAAACCCGTTTTTTGAAAACCGAAAACTGACCCGACCCAATTTTTTCCAACCCGAAACTGAACTAAACCGAATTTGTGCGAACCATTACTAACTCGACCTGTTATCAAGCCAAACCGTTACAACCCGAAACTGAAAGCAACCCAAATCGATTACGTTTAAACCCGATAGTAACCCGACCCATTTTAAACCGAAAACCGTTAAAACCCGATAAAAATCCGATAAACCTAAATCGTTCCAACCCGTAACCCGTTGTGACCGAACCGTTTACCACCCATAACCCGTTGTCACCAAACCGTTTAAAACCTGTAACCCGTTATGACTGAGTCATTTACAACCTGTTACCTAATATGTTTATGATCTAATCTGTTTCAACCCACTACTCGATAAACCCAACTTATTTATGACTTGACTTGATTATAACATGACTCGTTCCTACCCGTTATCTGACTAATTCGACTCGATAATCATCCGACTCAATTTTAACTCGATATGATTTGATTAGAAACCCGCTTCAAATTGGGTAAACTCGTTTTCAAACCAACCAAGTTCAATCTAAATCGATTATAACCTGAAACGATAATGATTGGACCCGATTTCACCCGATCTGTTTTGAACTGAAACCCATTTTCGAACCGACCCAGTTAAACCCAAACTGATTATGACCCGAACCAATTATGACCTGTCTTGATTAAGACCCGAACGGTTTCTAACCGAAACCCACATTAAACGGGCTAAACCCGTTTTCAAACAAACCCGGTTCAACCCAAATTGATTATGACCCAAACCGACTAGAACCCCACCCGATAAGGACCCGATCCGAATAGAAACTGCAATTTAAAAAACCAAACCGAACTGACCTGTTATAACCCGAAACTGATAAACCCAAACCGACCCAAACCGACCCGCTTATTATTTCAACCCCGTTATAAACCGACCTGTTATAACCCGAAACTGATAAACCCAACCCAAACCCGAACTGTTTAACCGAATTGACAGACCTACTTATCGTTATCAATAGTGATCCGTTTGATGACAACCAAATGGTTTACGACTTTACGTCCTCAATTGAGCTAATTCTCTTGGCACTCGTCTGATTTGTGTCATTAGATTTTTTAGACTATGTTTGGTTCATATTTTTTTTGAAGTTGTCTTTTATTTAAATTTTTTTTATTATTTTGTTTAAACTAAAATAAAATTGGACAAAAATTAAGGCTTGTGTACAATTATATGTCACGATAATAATAATAGAGGCGGTACATGTAATTTGTGCAAATTTAAAGATCACTTTTTTAGTTTGTTCCAATACCACTGAAGTTTTGACCTAATGGACAAAAATTAAGGCTTGTGTACAATTATATGTCACATGTTTAAACCCTTCATCCTCATTATACCGTTGTATTATATTGTTAGTACATTTATTTATTTTTTGTGGGTGCAAATTGTAATAGTATACTTATTAGTGTGACATTTATTGTTTTGTAGTAATAAGTTTTGAGATTTAGTTCTAATAATTGTTCGTTACTAAGCTTCACTTAAATTTTCAGAAATTCTGAAAATTTTTAGTGCATGTTACAAAATCTACATCTTACACTAGTAACCTTTATTAGAACTTATTTTTTCTAAATTGAACTTATTATGCTCAAAATAAGTGAATATAAGGTGAATAAAAAATCAATTTAATTGTTGGGAATATGATATTATAAGAAATAAAACACAACATAACTTGCTCGGTATAAATTTTTTAATTATGATACATTCATACTCTCACTATCCTTTTTAACTCTCATCATTTCATACGTAGTTTATAAACTTCTCTAAATAAAAGTGTCATTTTTCATTTATTTATCTATTACTTCAATCAAGTTACTTCGATCAATTCATATTAATTTATATTAAAGTTAGCTTCCTATTTATTGTACAAATAAAAAGGCAATTACACTTTTATTTAGGAATTATGATCGATTGCACTAGAAAAATAACATTAAATAAAAAAAAAAAACGTATATACACAATAGAAAATGTATGATATACCACTACTTTAATAATTAGATGAAGGGAGTAAAATTATTCTTACCAAAATCATTCCTTTGATAATTTCATCAGTGTAGTATTCAGGATCAGTTTGCTGCAAATCCAACATTTGTTCAATCATGTTCTTCGTATTCCCAGCATCAACATTTGTTCCTCCTTTACTTTCTCTGATTTCATCAACTAAACTCTGTAAAAAAGCATCTCTATCTATCATCAATCTTTTCATCTCCTTTTCAATCCCTCTAAACCCGACCCATTTCAAAACGGGTAAGAAATCACATATTGTCATTTGTTCAGCTGGCGGTTTTATTAACATTTTATCCCAAGTCTTTCCATTCACTTCCCTCATCACAAGGTTCCTAGCCACCTTTTCAAACATCTCATACAAGTTCACTTTTTGGGTCCCACTCGATGCGAGCTCCAAGATCATGTTACGGATCTCGGATCTCCGGGTGGGACCTGCTTCGTTTATCCTTCGAAATGATAACATGGTTAAGACCGATACACGGCGTAAGTTCCTCCAATGGTCGCCATACGGGGACCATATGAGGAGGGAATGGTTATAGCCTAAATGTTCACCTACGAGGAGTGTAGGTCGGTTAGCAAAAACCACGTCGTTTTTGCTAAAGCATTCCTCCGCGGCCGATGCAGAGGAAACCACCAGAACGGGCTGACAGCCCAATCGGAGCGAGAAAATTGGGCCGTAGCGTTTGGAGAGGGAGTGAAGTGTTCGATGGAAAGGAGACTTGAGAAGGTGTAAATGGCCCAATATAGGTATCGATGGTGGACTTGGTGGGAGATTCTTGCTCTTTGGTTTAGAGGTTATGATTTTGTAAATGAAGAATATGATTGCAAAAAGAGATAAGATGGTGTATAATTTCTCCATTTCCATGACTTTGTTATTTTTTTTTGTGAATGTGATTAGGATAACTTATACTTAAGCATGTAGATAAGTGCGTATTTATATGAATTTTGTTCCGAGAGGAAACAATATTGAAAATATATGATGATAAATCATAAATGGAGATACTGCCTCTCGAATATTATAGGGTCCACGTCGACTTTTCTAGACTCATTTGAGTTTGAAATGGACAAAAATTAATGTGTAGCTCAGGGATATTTGAGTTATTAAATATAAATTATGAGAGTGAGGGATAACTCAAGTGGTTAGAGCTCTTCTCCCGATTTCAATCGATTCTTATTAATCGTACTTGTGGCTCTCTAAACACCACAAAAAAAAACAATTATTTTTAGAAAAAATAATAATTTTACAAAAGTGAAGAATAATAACTATAACTAAACAAATTGATGTTTTATACAGATTATTTATTATTATTATTTAATTTGAAACATAATCACAAGATACCACTACTAAAAAATAGCCAAATTACGACAGAAATTTTCCGTCGAAAACACCTCGTTTTCCGTTGTAACTGGTTGTCGCGATATACTTTGTCGGAAAAACGCACTTTTCCGACGAAAATTCCGTCGGAACCGCTTTTCCGACGGAAACCAGTCCGTCTGAAGAGGTTTTCGGGCCTAGGAAATTTCCGACGGATATTATTCCGCCGGAAAATCCCGACGGAAATTCCGTCGGAAAATTTAATTAAAAAAACAAAAAAAAAAACTGCACCCACCCAAAACCACCAGCCCCCACCCCAGAACCACCAGACCCCACCCCAGAACCTCCAGACCGTTCTTATCCCACCAACACCGACACTACCACACCATTATTGAACCCCAAAAAATGAAAATAAATCCCGAAAACACCCAAAAAACGAAAATTAAACACCAAAAAACGAAAATTAAACCCAACGAAACAAAAATCAACCCCAACGAAATGAAAATCCACCCCCAGATATTCGAAGATTAACACCACAACGAAAATTAGCCCAAAAATCTTAAATTAACAACGAAATCGAAAAAATCCACACAATTATCTAATAAAATTCATAAATTAACATAACATTACAAAAATATACAATTAGCCAATAAAATTCATAAATTAACATAACAATTACAAAGAAATTAACTAGATCTACAATCTAACCTAAATTAAAACTAGATCTACAAAACAAAAACCTTGAAAACAGTCGGCTTTGTTATAATATTGTTGCGTCGTTGTTGTTGCTGTTGCGTTGTTGCGTTGTAGCGTTGTTGATGTTGTTGCGGTCGATGTTGGTGGTGGTTTGGTGGTGGTTGATGGAGAAGATGGAGGATTGGTGGTTGAGGGAGAAGATGGAGGATTGGTGGTTGAGGGAGGATTGTTGTAGCTGTTGCGTTGATGCGGTCGTGTTGGTGGTGGTTAGAAGATGGAGAAGAGTAGAGGGAGTAGAGACGGAGAGGAGGGGCAGAGGGAAAAGAGGAGAGAGAAGAGGAGAGAGAAAGAGAATGTGAAGGGGAAAGTGTAAAAAGGCGGAAGAAGGGAATTAGGGAAGAAGGGAATTAGGGAAAGTGAAGGGGGAGGGGTTAGTTGTTTAGGGTAGGTAAAAAATTAGTTTACGAAGGAATTTTCCGACGGATATAAATTCCGTCGGAAAATTAAATTTTCGACGGAAAAATCCATCGGAAAGAACATATTTTCCGACGGATTAATTTTTCCGACGGAATTTTCGAATTCGTCGGAAATATTCGACGGAAATAAAATCCGTCGGAAATATTGATTCATCCGACGGATTTTTAGGTCCGTCGGAACCATTCCGTCGGTATTCGACCTGATTCTTGTAGTGTACTCCCTCCGTTTTTAAATACTTGCTCCATTTTTCCATGCGCGAAGTTTTAGGAGAAATTGGAGAAAGTAATAGAATATGGAGGTAGTGGGGTTGGTGGAAAATAAAAAAATGTAGAAAGTAAAAGTAGTGGAGAGAATTGGAGAAGAGATTCAGATAATATATGTTGGGTCCACCATGTAAGAGAAATTAATTAAATATTGTAAAATCTTTCCAAATAAGGAAATGGAGCAAGTATTTAAAAATGTCCGCAAAAGGAAAGTTGAGCAAGTATTTAAAAACGGAGGGAGTAGCAGCAGTGGCGAACCTTGACAATTTTTTTTACGGGGGCCAAATTACTTTAATATTACGAGTATTAATTATACAAATACCATAATATACATATATGTATATATATATATATAACTTCAAAGGCTGGATAAAGGAACTATAGGAGTAATTATTATGAGTTTATGACTAAGGGTTTGTTCTATTCAACTTAATTTTAATTTAGTTCAGTTCGATTCCTAATTTCTTTCTCTCATAAACAGTTCAGCTCAGTTTAGATTATGAGAACAGACCTTAATAAATAAAAATCAAATACGAGTAATAATAGCTAAGTTCAATAGCTAAGACTCAATACTTGCACAACCAAAATATTGAAGAGGAAATAATAACTCAAGGCATTTGGATAGAAATAATCCATAATTGATAAAGTGTCTTTTAAAACAAGAGTAAAAAAAGGAGATACTAAAACTCTAAAAGGGTAGTATTGTATTTTGATTTGTGTAGTTTAATTTGCAGCAAGTAGTGAAATCACGTGTGTTTCACTTGCTTTGGGATTTGTGCGTAAATAAAATAGAATGTATAAGTCATATACTGGTATGACGTAATACCAACTTCTTTAGGAATTTTTGGGCTTTTTACTAGACATTAAATATGAAAACATATTTGGGCCAAATTTTGAGGGGGGGCCAAGCCCTTGCCCGCCCCTTCAAAGGTCCGCCTCGTAGAGATGGTTAGAACATTAAGGACGTGTTATGATTTACTGAACTGAGCTGAAGTGAACTGAACTAAATTGTTTATGTGAGAAAAAATTAGGAACTGAATTGAATTGAAATGAACTTGAAGAGAACAAGTCCTAAAACTTGTGATTAACATTTTTATTGCCAATAAAACATGTTTATAATATTTAATGGCTTGGATGATGTGGTACACAAAACATAAGAAAGGTGGTATGACATACATCTAATAAATGTAAGGGTGCCACGTGGCATATATTTTGTTTTAAGAACGCTTTTTAATACTTTGTATATAAGTATTTATAGATCCGTTAGAGTGGAAAGGGTTAGCTATAACATATATATATATATATATATATATATATATATATATATATATATATATATATATATATATATATATATATATATATATATATATATATATATATATATATATATATATATATATATATATATATATATATATATATATATATATATATATATATAGTAACCAAATTTTCAAATCAAACTTAATTAAATTTTATAACATATGTAGTATAGATAAAAATAAAATAAAAAAATCATGCATCTAAATTTTCAAACCAACCTTAATTAAATTTTATAATATAATCTACTAAACATATACTTCATCCGTTTTCTTTTACTTGCAACACTTCCTTTAAAAAAATGTCACAATACTTGCAACACACTATAAAAGGAAAGTTACTTTAAGGAAAAACTATACTATATCCCTTATTTAAAGCACATGGCCCACTAAATTACACTCCTAATAACCACTCATCCTATTTTAAAGTTTATTATATCATGTAAACCCCACTTTTCTTAATTACCGTACTAAACGGTGTGTTACATCTAAAAGAAAACGGAGGAAGTACTACGTATAGTCGTATATAGTTAATCAACTTTGGCCAAGGATTTCTTCCATTGAAGAGCGAGGGCGGCATATAGCCTCCAAATGCTTATCCTTAGGAACAATGATGGCACCAGCACCATGACTTTCGGTCAAGTCCACTAATCCATCCTCAGCTGCTTCCCAATCAAAACATTGAATAAGTGTAGCCACTAACAAATTAACATTCCTCAGAGCAAAGTTGTTACCGGGGCAAGCTCTCCTCCCTATCCCAAAGGGCATAAACTTGAATCCTTCTATCTCATTTTCGAACCTCTCTGGCTTAAACACGATTGGCTCATCCCATAGGTTAGGGTCCCTATGTATTGCCCAAGCATTGACAAAGAGAATGGTACCCTTCGGAACATGAAATCCTCCGATGGTGCAATCTTTGGATGAGCAATGTGGGACTAGAAGTGGTGCTGGTGGAAAAAGTCTTAGAGTCTCATTGACAATGCATTTTATATAGCTTAATTTTGGAAGATCTGAATCGTCTACTAGTCTTCCTTTGCCGACATGTAGATCTATCTCTGCTCTTGCTTTGGCTAAAACTTCAGGGTTGTTTATGAGGTTTGACATTGCCCACTCAAGAGTTCGAGTTGTAGTTTCTGATCCTGCTAACAACATGACCTACAATAGACCATCACATAACTCGTGTAAGTAATACTCCATCCATTATTTGATATCATCAATGAGACCACAAAGGCATGAAGGAAACTATTTTATTTTTTAAATATGTAATATCCAAGTATATTGATACGTATAGACAATTATGTCACTTAAAATGATGTAGTTATTCTGAATGATAAAAGTAAATTGATTTTCTTTATTAAGACCACACATTACTTATCGCTTATGGATAGTGGTCCTTTGATGACAACCAAATGGTTTACGTCCTCAATCTGAGTTATACTCTTGACACTCATCTGACTCATGTCATTAGATTATTTAGAATATGTTTGGTTCATATTTTGTTTAAAATTATTTTATTTAAAGTTATTTTTAAACTAAAATAAAATAAAATAAAATAAACAGATTAGTAAAAAATTGAAATTTGACAAGGTTCAAAGATTATTTTTAGTTTGTACTAATACTATGAAATTTTGACCTGACGGATAACAATTAAGATTTATGTATAATATGTCACGTGTTCAAATCTTCATTCTCATTATGACTTTGTGTTGCTACTATGTTTATTTTCGTTTTTGTTTTTTTGACTAACCACTCAACTCATCACAAAATCAAAATGATATAAATAGCATTTATTTTTGGCAGTCATAAAACATACGTACAAGAAAACCAATTCCTTAAGCCTTATTTCGCTCATGTTATTTTGATATACTTTTTTGACTAACCAGTAACCACTCAACTCATCACAAAATCAAAATGATATAAATAGCATTTATTTTTGGCAGTCATAAAACATACGTACAAGAAAACCAATTCCTTAAGCCTTATTTCGCTCATGTTATTTTGATATACTTTTTTGGAGTATTTGACTTTTTTTGACACGAGTACAAAACAAACTCAAAAACGCTTAAAATAAGTTTTACCAATCAGAATAAAAATAAACTCTAACTTACTCGATACACTCACTGTCCTAAAACAAATCTCATTTCATTAATAATCATTCTCCTTAGATAAAAGTCCAATTTCTCATCTACTTCGTTTCCACTTATTATTCCGTATAACTATACTAGGTTAAACCCCGTACATTAGATGCACATTTGTTTGATATGGAGTAATTATAATACTATCTCCATTAACGGTTATTTGCAACATATATCATAAATGGATGCTAACTATTATGTGCAACACATGTTTTTTTTTTCTTTTTAGGTAATCATTTCTCTCAATCTCTCTCCTCATCACAAGCACCCAACTTTTTCTCTCTCCATTTTACTCTCACAAACAAATTTTGCCTAGAAATCCGCAAACACCCCCTTTGTTGCAAATAATAGTTAACGGAGGAAGTACAACAAAATTATGAATTAACATAAAAAATAAGGACTTGACGTATACACATATAATAGTTATAATGAAAAATTTAATAGTTTAGAAAGTTTTGTTTAGATTTTCTTTAGAGATGAAGAGAGTAGTAAAGTTATTCTTACCAAAATAATTCCTTTGATAGTTTTATCAGTGTAGTAGTCAGGATCAGTTTGCTGCAAGTCCAACAATTGTTCAATCAAACACTTGGTAGTTTTTCCATCAACATTTGTTCCTCCCTTACTTTCTCTGATTTCATCAACCAAACTCTGCATAAAACTATCTCTTTCTTTCATCAAATTTTTCAACTCCTTTTCAATCCCTCTAAACCCGACCCATTTCAAAACGGGTAAGAAATCACATATTTTCATGAGTTCAGCAGGCGGTTTCATTATCATTCTCTCCCACGGTTTTCCATTCACTACCCTCATCACAAGGTTCCTAGACACCTTCCCAAACAACTCATACAAGTTCACTTTTCGGGTCCCACTCGATACGAGTTCCGAGATCATGTTACGGATCTCGGATCTCCTAGTAGGACCCGCTTCGTTTATCCTTCGAAAGGATAACATGGTTAAGGCCGAAACACGTCGTAGGTTCCTCCAGTGGTCCCCATACGGGGACCATATGAGGAGGGAGTGGTTGTAGCCTAAATGCTCACCTACAATGAAGTTAGGCCTGTTAGCAAAAACGATGTCGTTTTGGTTAAAGCATTCCTCGGCAGCCCATGGGGAGGAAACCACCAAAACGGGCTGGCAGCCCAATTGGAGAGAGAAGATTGGGCCGTAACGTTCAGAGAGGGATAGGAGTGTTCGATGGAAAGGAGGCTTGAGAAGGTATAAATGGCCCAATATAGGAATTGATGGTGGGCTTGGTGGGAGATTCTTGTTCTTTGGTTTAGAGGTTAAAATGATTTTGTAAATGAAGAATATGATTGCAAAAAGAGATAAGATGGTGTATAATTTCTCCATTTCCATGGTTTTGTTAATTTTTTTTTGTGTGAATGAAAGTGATAAGGATAGCTATACTTTGGAATGTAGATAAGTGCGTATTTATATATAAATTTTGTTCCGTATTAAAATTTTGTTCCGAGAAGAAACAACGATGAAAATTTTATGATAAAGGAAATACTGCCTCTCGAAAATAATAGGGTCCACGTCGACATTTCGAGACATGAATAAAATGAGTTCAATATAGACAAAAATTAGAGGGAGTGTAAAGGGATAATTGTTATTTAGCTGCGTATGCATAATATAGTATTCTCTCCGTCTTCAAAGGTTTTTTCAATTAAACACTTTATAGTTTTCAAGACGTGTTTTAAAACGTTTATATCTCTATTTTATTGGAGTAAATATTATGAAAATTTGATACTCGTATTACTAAAATATAAACCGTGACGAATCTAACAAGATTTCACATGAATATATAATCTCTTATAGATTAACGAAAAATTATGGTCAAAGTTTTCAAAATTTAACCTAAATACAATAATATTAGATATGGAAAATACATTTGAGAACAAAGAGAGTATTGATTTTAGGTAATTACGGAGTACATTAAAAGTTGCCTATTTTTTTAATGGTAAGGAGAATTGGCCTCACGATATATTGAAAGTTAATATTGATAGTTTGAATTACTGAATTGTGAAACTGTACCCATTGTTGGTAACTAATGATGGCTAAATAAAGACGGCTAGCTATAACTGTACCCATTGTTAGTAACTAATACTTAGCCCGAATTACTTGTTTAATCAACATTTAAAAATGTTTTTAGCTTGCTTTTGTGTCCCTGATCTTCCCTAAAAACATGCATTAGATGACGTAAGTGATTACAACAAACTTTGCATGTAAAATTTCAATGTAAGCAGTGAGTTCAACTATTTTCTCGGGTTGTCGTTGTTCACAAAGTTTCACATGTAGCTGGCTGTTTTTTCTCTTTCTTCTCTGTCTCCTATTCTCTTTCCTGTTTTCTTCTTCCCACCTAAACACACCCATTTCTTAAACTTTCTTCTATCTCTCCTCCCTCCTATTTTCATCTTCTCTAATTAGACCACTCAAATTAAACAAGTTAAATGGAGCAGCGGTGGTAGGGGCCCTAGGGGGTAAGGAAGCTCCTCGTACTCCGTCGCTGAAAAACAAGCTAGAGGTTTTAAGGTCAAATTCAACCATAAAAACTCTAGATCTAGAGTTTTTATGGCCGAATTTGGCCTTTTTAGCCATATTTCAAGCAAAATTCGAAGCTAATATTAATTTTTAAGGTATTTGTTCGATTTTTTTTTTAAAACTTTTTAATTTGTTTTATGGTTGTGGGTTCGATTTGGTTGGATCTAGGCGTGGTTGTTAGTGGTACGGGAGTTGGTGGTGGTGTGGTGAAGTTTAAGGTTTTAAGGACGGCGGTTGAGAAAGGTTGGTGTTGGTGGTGGTTACGGTGGGTTAGGGTGTGGGTAAACCGTAAATGGTTACTAGGTCGGGGGCTACTAGGAGTTACTAGGTTGGTCAGGGGTTACTAGCTAGGTCGGTCAGGGGTTACTAAGGTATACTAGGTCGGTTAGGGGTTACTTGAGGTTACTAGGGGCCGCAGGTTACTAGGGTAGGAGTTACTAGGTCGGTTAGGGGTTATACTTGGGGTTACTAGGGATTACTAGGTTAGGGGTTACTAGGTCGGTCAGGGGTTACTAGGTCGGTCAGGGGTTACTAGGTTGGGGGTTATTAGGTCAGTCAGGGGTTACTAAGTCAGTCAGGGGTTACTTTGTCTAAGGGGTTACTAGAGGGGTTACTTAAGTGGGGTTAATAGAGGGGTTACTTAAGTGGGGTTAATAGAGGGGTTACTGATATGGCACCTTGTCGCACCGTGCGGACAACCGAACTAGAAACGCGCTGGTCCTAGTTAGTTTAAGGCTGCATTTAGCTCATTTAGGCCCTGTTCTTTTGAGCTTCTGGCAGAGTAGAACAGATTTCAGCAGAGTAGAGCCGAACAGAGCAGAGCAAATTTCATTATTATTATTATTATTATTATTATTATTATTATTATTATTATTATTATTATTATTATTATTATTATTATTATTATTATTATTACTACTACTACTACTACTAATATTATTACTATTATTAATATTATCGCATTATTATTATAATCACTAAATATTATTATTAAATATTAATTATTATTATAATAATTATTAAATATTATATATTTATTATTTTTATTATTAAATACTATTTAATTATTATTATTAAAAATTAATAATTAGTATTATATTTAAATATTAGTTATTATCATTAAATATTAATTTTTGTTATAAAAATCAATTATTATTATTATTATTATTATTATTAAGTATTATTATTACTATTATTATCATTAATTTTTTTTGAGAAAATATTATTATCATTATTATTATTGGCCTCACGATGTATTGAAAGTTAATATTGATACGGAGTAGTTTGAATTACTGAATTATGAAACTGTACCCATTGTTGGTTACTAAAGACGGCTAGCTATAACTGTACCCGACTTATTTAATCAACATTTTATGTTTTTAGCTTGCTTTTGTGTCCCTGATCTTCCCAAAAACATGAATTAGATGACGTAAGTGATTACAACAAACTTTGCATGTAAAATTTCAATGTAAGCAGTGAGTTCAACTACTTTGTCGGGTTGTCCTAGTTAGTTTAAGGATGCATTTAGCTCATTTAGGCCTTGTTATTTTGAGTTTCTGAGCAGAGCAGATTTCAGCACAACAGAGCAGATTGAAGAACACAGTAGAGCAGAGCCGAATAGAGCAGAGCAGATTTCATTATTATTATTACTAGATGAAGCCCGTGCGATGCACGATTTGTTTGATTTTTTTTTTTTAAATAATGTTTTTTTTTTTTTTTTTTTTTTTTTTTTTTTGTATTTATGAGCCTAAAATTTGTTATATATTTAGATAAAATTCCTAATATTAAAAGATAATATATAATATTTAATTAATTTAAACTTAAAAATCTCATTCGCCAATTTTGCTTACATGACATTTGAATTATTTAATTCTAAAAAGAAATTAATAATCTCTTATTTAATTGGCTACTATTAAGATTTATAATCCTACATGGCGCGCTGAAAAAATTAGATCTTACGTGGCTCTTTAAAAACTCGGGAAAAAACTCCCCTTTATATATATATATTAGATTACTATTAGATTATTATTATTATTATTATTATTATTATTATTATTATTATTAATATTATTATTATTATCATCATCATCATCATCATCATCATCATCATTATTATTATATCTCAAAAATAAAAGTCATACAACCTACAATAAATTAGTGGGAAGCCGAGATACAATCTGGGCCCCCACTCTTCTAGCTATAGCAAAGCCTACCCTAGTGAATATAAGAGCTACAGCACGAGCAGGGAAGAGCAGAGTAGATTTCAATAGAATGGGGCCTTAATCAATTTAAATTTATTTGTCTGTTTTAATTATTTAACCGGTATTTAGTCTGTATGATATACGGATTAAATTTGTTTGTAATTTTTTTTAGAAAATTTTTAAATTACCACCCAAAAATGTAACCATTTTCGAACTAACCACCAAAAAAAAATTTATTTTAAATTACCACCCCTTAAATTAAATAAATGCTCATATTATCACCCATTTTGAAAATCTGGTGGGTTTCTGACCTGTGGGCCCTACTTTAATTATTTCCCTTCTTATTTCTCCTCTCTTCTCTTCTCTTCATCATCTTCTCCTACTACTCCACCTCTTCTGCCATTAAAGCTCCCTTTTTCCTACCTTCTTTCTCCCTCCTCCAACTCTATTTCCTTTCCCTTTCTTCTCTCTTCTTAACATTTCTCATCTTCTCCAAATCAATCAAAAAACCCTAATTTTTAATACCACCAAATCAAAACCCATACAAATTAGAAATTTCTCACAAGATCAAATCAAATCAATTCAATCCATTCAAATCCGATTAAAATAAAACCCACTGGAAAACTCTTCACGATCGGATTAATTACCTTATGGTACTCCTCAAACATTGGTGTAATCCCCCGTAATTATGTGAAAAATAAAAATTTATTTTAAAATATTTATGTGAATATTTATTTACATAATTTATTTTACTATGGTATAAACAAATAAAATTTAATATTTATTAAGTTAATACTACTATTTCATTAAAATTATTTCACCACCTATATTTTAATTATTATACAAGTCCAACCCATTATTCATTATATTAAGCCTAATTTTTTTCTAAAACCCGCTCACTTTAAGCCCAAGTAACAATCCTAGTTTTATTAGAACTAGAAAACTAAGCCCACTATACTACTAAAACCCTCAAGCTTTCCCCTACTCAAGACTTATTCTATTCTACTACCCTCCTCCCTCAATTCTCACGACAAAAACAACAAAAAAAAAGAGAAGATTGTTGTTACCCAGCGACCCGACGCCCAGCCGCAGCAACCCCGCATCTCTTCTGCAGCCTGCAACCACCGTCGGCCACCAGCCGACACCCCCTTGTTGCTGCCCGTTCGCCCCTCTTCTTCCTCTCTTCCTTTATTTATTTTTATTGCTTTATTACCTTAATTAAATTGTTCAAAGTATCAACCTTTAATTAAAATATTGTTCTAAATTATATTATTATGGTTTGATAGTATGTTTAGATTATAAAAGATTATGAATTTATGAGTTATAGTATGTTTAATTTATGGTACAAAATTTCAGATTTTATGTTATGTATAATTTAGGGTTTAAATATTAATTTTTCATGGTTTAGGGTTTAAAAACGTGTTAAACAAGTTAATTATCAATACAATGATTTCACAATGACAAAACCCACAATTTTATACTTAAAATTAATTTTCAGATTATGTATGTGGTGAAATTGGAGTTTTATGTTGTTTATTTGAAGGGTTTTAAGGTTTAATGTGTAATATACTATTCTAATCATTGAATTATGAATGTAAATTTTCAAAAGTTTGAAATTTATAATTTAAATTAATTTTCAGATTTTATATAATATGATTTTTATTAGTTTTGAGCCAAAATAAAGTTTTAGAATGC